CCACAAATAGTTCCTTTGCGCGGGCTTCCATCGCAGACCACAGATCTCACGCTTGATTGCTGGATCTGTTTTAGATGGATTGTTCTGGGGGATGCTGATAAGCTGAAGATGTCAAACCCCTAAGCCCGCCTGCCACATATGCTTGGGCAGAGGAACGTAAGCTGCGCAGGGGGCTGGGAAGGTCACAGACTCAATCCTTGGCCCCAACCACGCCTAACAGCAAATGTTCCTTCATGGCAGCCCACATGTATTGGAGAGCATACTTAAAAAAGTCACAGCCATGATCTGTAGAATCCTCAGCGAGGGTAGCAGCATTGAATTCATTCAAGGCTCGTTTTCAGTTCCGGCTGCTAAGACCCTGCGTCAAATCAGAATTATCGACTGATGTCATGCTTTGCATCAGGCTAGGGATGGGGCCTCAGCATCTGCCCGGGGAACTCGGGGTTGCTTGACATCGCGTGGTAAGAAGGGTCCCTCCAGTGACTCTTGGGATGGCTGCGGGAAAAGCTTTCAAAGACCCCGTAGGCATAAATCCGCTGCTCCGCAGCCCTCAGCTCAACAAGGCTGAGCCCTGAGTTGAAAGAAAAATCCTGCTTAGCCATGCTGTTTTGTTCAAAATTTGGACCAGCTCCCTTTATCCTGCAAGATCCTGTCCTTACTATGTTGATCTGTCATAGTTCCACAGGTATGTGGTTCCACAGGATTGTTTTGAGTTAGCTGAAATCACAAACAGCAAGAAACTGAATCCCAATTGAGACTCCACGGCGGCAGTTCCGCAATTTTGCATTTCTCGCCCCAGGTAGCCAGGCTGGGGCTGACCTGGCCAGATCCGGGCCACATGGCAAAGCCATGTACCCGGCAGTTCAGCCTTACACACTAAAGCCACATGCCCAAACCATAAACGCCAAAACCGTAAACCTTAGACCCTGAACACCAAACGCAGGGGTTTACAAGTTAAGCGCTTGATGATTGAGGATCCCTCCTTCACCGCTGTTTCTTTGGTCAAGAAGGCTGCCAGCCCAGTCGGGGAGGATTTCCGGGATTGTTGGGCGGTCAGGGTTTGAGGTTGAGGGCTCCGGGTTTGATCATACCTGCTGCGCAGACTTACCAGGCAGGGTTCTAGGCGAAGCAGATCGAGTGAGCATCTTACGGACTTGGAGATTTAAGAGCCCGCGCTTTAAGATTTCGAGTTGAACATGTAGCATAAGCCCGAGAATCACGGATGAAAGGTTCAGCGTTCAACGGTCAACTACGTGCTCAGCACGCATCCGTTCAGTGCGGCAAGGACGTCAAAACTCGGCCTCCTTAGCTACAATATCGCCAAACTCAGAATCTTTAAGCATTATACCTTGACCTGTGCACCCCAAGCCTGAACGCTATTCAGGGCCCTGAATCCCTGACATGTTTCGCGCTCCAGAAAAACAAAGCCAAACAAACCCAAGCCCACTCCCTGAATACCTGAGAGCTGGAGTTTCTCAACACAAGCGTGCACAGTCCTCAAGAGCAACCTCTAACATCCTCTTACAATTTGTGTATATCTCCAGGTGTTTTAGGGCACCCCTACTGCGATATCCCCAGTAAAGCCTAAGCAAGGTCGTGCAGGGGAGGCGCGTCCGGGTAAGCGACCATGGGGTCGGGCAAGTGCTTGGGAAGTCGCTGCTTAAACGAGGCTGCGAATTTGGAATATTTTTGGCTTGGTAGAAGGAGTTTGGAAGGTTTATCTAGAGATTCCTGCTTGCACGACTAGAGAGGGTTTTTCTTTGGGTTGTACGGAGTGTATGCGTGCGTAGCAATGCCGAGGCCGTTCGAAGGTTCTCAATATCTCTTTACGGGACCAACTCAACAAGAGGAGCTTGCATCATGCCCCGCATTGATTTTTTAATGCCTTGATTTCTTGCGTGTGAACCTTGTAGTTTGTACGTGCCTAAGCAATTTTCTTGAAGTCTCTATGAAGCAATAGAAGGACAGCCCATTACGCATACCTCTTGAGTAGCAGGCATGGTTTAGCTGGATGTTGGCTTGCCCGTGGCAGACAAGAATCGCTTGTTAGTACCTGCTGGCTAGTGCAACCGCGACATGCCATGCACCAAATCCGAATGTGGACAAAACAGCAGGCTTTAAGCCTTCAAGCTGTTAAAAACATAGCAATAGTTGTAAAACAACGATAAGCACAAGGTAAGAAACAATGAGTCATACGTAACAAGCAATGAGTAAGACCTCTTAGCAAGAAGCAATCCCAAAAAATGCTACAAGTAATCAGTCATGTGCAACAAGCTCTAAGCAATAAATCAGAAAGAATACAACATAAGAAGAATGTGCAACTGTTTGCCCAAGCCAGGCCCCAACCTCGGTAAAGCCTAGAAACAGTCAGGCTCAACTTGTAAGCGCAATTGGACAAAGAAGTCTGAACCCCACAAAAATGGCTTAGCAGAGCAAGAGGGAATAGACCCCTTTCGCTAATTCATTTCATCATTGCATAGTCGCCGCCCAATGCCAACCCTAGAACCCTCCAAAGCACTAAATCTCTGCTTCTCTCTCAAAGGTCAATTGCTGTGGCTGTAATCCCTGGTCTTAATCATGCACTTTCCGCTATCTACCATCATACGTAAGGAGAGTATTTGATAGTGGGGTGGGTGGGTTTGTTAATTGCAGGATCGTACCAAGCCCGAGTTACCCGGGCTGGTATACAGGTGTTAGTGCGGGGTGGGTGATCTTGCGGTCTAGCGTGTTAGAGTTGGGCCAAGTTTCAAAAGACAGTTCAAGAAGCCGTCTGGGTCCTGGGGGCCCTGAGACGAGCCCACAAAACCCTTTACACCTGCCTAATTGTGCCTGATCAATTTTTGGAAGGCTGCTGAACTCTTATGTGCTCTCAGGATATCATAAAGGTGTGGGGTCAAGCGGTAGCAACCATGATATTTGGACCTGACTTTGAAAGATCATCCAATAAACCCTTGAAAGGGCTCCTTTTTGCTTCTGGCCAAGGCCCAAACACTTGACCCAAACCTTTTCTGCAGAGGATTGACGACTTCCCAGATCTGAGCCGGGCGGGAGCAATCGCCCAGCGGTTTCAGTTGGATGAGGCATCTTCAAATGGGAGCCCAACCCTTCTGTGCTTCGGGTGTAGGGCGTTCAGGATCAGAACCCGTGTCGTGTCCAGATTCAGTTCGTTTTTTGGTAAAGTCTCTTCATTAAGGAATGTCGTGTGTCTTGTGCAGGTTGCCGTTACCACGATTCCATTAGAAGATTTCGCGATGGTGTACGGATTATGGAGGCTGTTATAGTTAGCACTGCTACCTGTTATCAGTCACCGGGAAGATTTGAACATAGGCCGCAGGTAATGTAAATTTCGGGGATTCTGAATAGTTCTCTCCCTCCCTACTTCAAGCCTCCACGTGGTGGCCATAACGGTAAGGACAATGGTTGTTACATTCTTCGTAAAGCCAAGCATAGAGCAGGTATTGTACCAAAATCAGAGATTGGTCACAGGAGCAATAGACTTTGGAATTATAATGGCAATGTTTTCTGCGTTGTCCTTTTGCTACTACTGCGGCAGCTACTGCAGCTACAGCTGCTGCTGCTGCTGCTGCCGCGGCCGCTGCTATACTCCGTAGCTCCTCCTAGCTGGGAGACACAGCGATTACTTCTTCTCCAGCAAACTCTCCTTCTCCTTCTACAAAGACTACTACTGCGTACCAGCAGAATCAGCAAGCACTGCACCAGCGAGACGGAAACAAACCCTCACAATACCCTAGGCCGGACGCAAGAGATGGAAAGTACGATCTCGACAGTAGCATCCCTTGTCATTGTTGAGCACCAAGATATGAATAATGAGCGCATTCTATGCCACAGCTGCTAAACGTAACAGCTGCCAGCAGCACGAACCTTATGAACCAGAAGGTGGGCAACTGGGTTTGTGCTTTAATGTTTCGAAGGTACCACGGAGAAGTGAGAAGCTATGTTCCAAGAAGACCTCAGGAATTGTTCCGATGATTTTCCGGTAAAAGGTACAAGCCATGACCGATAACTTTAACGCACGCTAACGGTAACACCAGGCAAGCGCCTACGTCTCTAGACATCATCACGCTTAGACATATTACAATCCTTGTAGATCCCTGTATAGCCCGCAGCAAACCAGGCTGCTTTGCGGAAGCTGCGGGACATTGTTGAGAAGCGAGCAGAGGACCTGGCAGCGACGTTGGATCACACGGAGGAGGCAAAAGGCTAACCCACAGCTCATACTTATCCCAGGAGTTTGAAGAACCACGGGTCCTCCTACTTCGTCCTTATCGTAAGTACTGCTTCATTTTCCTTGGTCTTAAGCTTTATGAACTTCTGCAGGCTTAAACGGGTTTGCTCTGGTATCTGCAGTGGTTCACTAGATTCTCAGAACAGTCAGAGGTTTGGTTGAGGGTCTTTGTTCCGCTTTCAACCTATCCTCATTCCAAAGCATTGTGATCGTTTCCTCTGCGGTTGATCTGATTCCGTCAAGGTTCTTGCAATGGCTACCTAGTATTTTTGTTGTCCGTGGATATGTGGGCTTTGTACCCGAGATCCCAGGTTTGCCATCGGAATGATCTACGCCAGAACGAGCTCTTCAATAGTTTGATTAGGGTTCGCGTTTCAGGATTAAGTGCTTGGGGTTGGGGTCTCGCAGTCCATCTTTGGGTCTTGAGGGTCAGATTTAGGGGTTGTGGTGTCGCATTTAGGCTTCAAATAATAAGGCGCAGAGTCCTTAAAATCATGTTCAAAATTTCCAGTTTCGAATCAGGATTACTGCTCGCTGGGCGTAGGACAAGGCGTTGGCTCCAGCCACGTAGTGCAAGATTTCTGATGCGCGGCCTGTACCTCGCTTCCTCTTTCTTGTTCTCCTTCCAGAGTGGCGGGTGCCTAGTACAGCTTACGCTGTTAGTTCTCTTCCTAGTAATACGGCTCTTGCTTCTGCTGCTACTACTACCATTTTCCGTTGTGGCAGAGATTCCGGCTTCCTGGTTGGCTTGAAGGTGTTAGCAGCGGCCTACTCTCCATCGGCCACTCTTATCAAGGCCTCGTGTGATCTGGTGTTCTTGAAGGGGCTGTAGCTTCCGCGAGGTTGGAGGATGATACTGGGGGTATGCTGGGGGTGTTGTGCTGGTTACACCGGTCGTTTCCAACTTTGGGAGACAGGACGTAGGATATGAAGCAAAGGAATTTCAGGAAACTAGCAACGCAACTCATTGAGGAGTTTCATCGAAGCAAAGACGGCTGCACATGCTGCGACATCATTGAGGACTACAGGTTTTGGAGCAGGACCTATCTTAATCTAGCTCGAAAATCGTCCGGATTTCTCAGAAACATTGCAGGCCTATACTCATGTGGCTTTCAAGAAGGGGAAAAGAGAAGCCAAACCACGTGAAAGTCCAGAACCTCAGCCCTATTCACCGCCCTAACAGAGCAGCACAGTTGAGGCCGCAGACCCTGACGCAGAATCCAACAAACCAATGTGAGGCTTGGGTTGGATCTGAGTACTATGGGAAGCTGAAGAACTGCCAAGACAATTCCAGCCATCTTTCTCTCATGAGAAGAATATGAGCTCCGACTGGTGCCTAAGCTCTTCAGGTGCCTTTCCCAAGGTTTCAGCATCTTGGTGGTAACAATATCACGACTGCTGTCTTCATCCAGAATCCTTCCAAAGCCATCTTAGCCCTAAACCCCAGACACTTCACCTTTATCAGGTGGCGCCCACACTTCTGAGCGGCGAGATGCTGGCTCCCGAAGAGATCGAGGCAACGCATCCCTTGCTATGCCAGGTATGCTACGTGTACGGGTGTTGAGAACTGAGACACTAGGATGTAGGACCTACGATCGAGGGAAGGAATGCAACACGCTGTCAGGGATTAAGATCTAGGCAGCGCTGTAGCCAAAGCTCTTATAGTCCTTAGCAGCCCTTACAGCCTGAGGCCCTGAGGCAAAGTTGGTATTTGAAGGCAAGAGGGATCGTGGTCCTATGTTCCTGACTGCGCGCTGTTCTGAGGCTGGAACGCCTCTTTTCAAGATTTTTGTGGCTTCGGGTAACACTCCAAGCCCTTGATTTCAGAAGCGACCATGCGAAGTCTGCCCATAGGTTATAAAGTTGGAAGCGCGCCAGCAAGCGAGAAGAGACGAACTGAAGCGAAAGCAGGCGCTGTCAGGGTTTCTGGGGTTAATGGGGTTAGCAGTTTTGTTGGCTTGGGAGCTTTGGAGTTTTGGGGTTAAAGGTTTACCCTGTCATCGTTTTGATACCGAATCGAAGGCTTTATGTTTTCGGTTGCAGCAAGGGCCTGGAACAGACACCCCCTCAAATTCCAGTTCCTTTCAGAACCTCTCTATGATCTTCGCAACCCCACGCCTACAGAATACAACCCTGAATGGTAAGGGTTTTGTAGTTGGAGGTAGCTCCGTGTTTGGTATCTACTCTTCTTGATTTGGAGCCCGCCGTAGTCACACTTGAACAAACCTGTAGATCTTAGATGGCTACATCATTAGGAAGCCAGCACCCCAAGCCCGACACCTGAAAACCCTGAACCCCAAGTCATCCCAAACCTAATGCCTTGCCTCCTGGATGTTTCGGGAGCGGGGGATTGCAGCTGAAGGCTTCAGCCAAAAGGACAGGCCCTGTGCTTCACGGTTTCGGGTTGGGCGCGGCCAAGGTTTAGGGCAAGTTAGGCTTTAGGGTTAGGGTGTTAGGCGTAGGCTTGTGGGCATTGGTAGGATTAGTGCTGGGTATAGAGGTATAGGGTTTTGGCTGCCTGCTGCTCATGGCTGATGCCTTATCATTGCTTTGCTGCTATGCTTGCCCTGAGGCGTACTTTGTCTGTGGTGGGTCTATTTCTGCGACCACTACTACACTGCCACTATGCTGCTACTGTAGGTATGATCCCCCGCGTCCTACAGCTGCAGTTCCTGAACCCAAATCCTTCCTGCTAATTCCAAAGCTTGAATCTGCTCCGATCTGGAAAGTGCAGGCGCAGAAGAAGCCGAAGAAAGAGAAGAAGGAGAAGAAAAAGAAGAAAAAGAGTAGCCTGGCAGCCTGACCCCTGAAATCCGGGCAGCCCACGAAGATGAGACTTCGGAATCCCCTGTAATCCCTGAGTTGGGAGTGTTCTATAATGAGGGAAGATCTACGAATCCTAGCAGAATTCAAGGGTATGCACGGTGTACGGTAGAGGGTATTTTCCATCCTTGGGGTTATATTCCCTAAGAAGTTCTTTAACAAAGCATGACAAATGTACGGATTCTCTTCCCAAACTCCCCAGGAGATGCAGAACATGGAGCCTCCTAAATAGACCCGAACTCGATTTGTGGTTTGTCTGCTGCCAAACGTAACTGGAATCCCTACGTTTCGATCATGTTGACTTACACTATGGGAGCGGTAATGTGGACAAAATAATCGCCTCTGCTAGAACCACTTCATTGGGGGACGAGGGAGGCAAGTATGTGTTGTCTCTGACTTTGTTTGTTGAGGAACCCTTGGCATAGCCAAAAGTCCCACAAATACGTAACTACACACAAGACATTCCGCGGTGGCATTGATGCCGACGGAGTTGACCCCGTAGCCCCGTAGGAGAAATCGAGCAGACATACAGACAGACAGAGAGACAGGCAGACAGAAATGGAGGGAGAGTGGTATAGGAGCACTCTGCTTTTGAGTTCTAGGTTTCGACTGTATGTTCTCAAGCAGTTTGTTAACCCCGGTTTGAGGATTGGGGCGTAGAGCTTATTGTAGGTTGTCAAGGCAAGTGTTTGGGGTTCATGGTCTTCGTAGTTTGCAGGGGTTTGGCATGTCATATGAGCGACTTCCAACTAGGTTTCAAGGTTTGGGTGCCAAGGTGTGGGACTTAGACGCGTGCCATCTGGTTTGCGCTCTAGGCGTGGCAGAGTTAACGGTTCAGGTCCTAGAGTTTAGGACTAATTTTGGTAAAGTCTTGGTTTCAACTTGCATATATATATATATGTATACAGCCTGCTTACAATGTCTGTAGGGGACAGTCAAACCCTGCAAGCACGACAGCTCATGTAGATTCAACGGGAGAAAACTGAAACGGCATTGATGAAAGCCTTGCCTTAGTCAGATGAGGTTCGGATTCAGACGACTCGGACTCCTCTTCGGGCTCGAGTTCGAGTTCTAGTTCCAAGAAGAAGCGCCACTTGGTCTAGAGTCTAGCGTCCGGGAACTTCTGGGCTTTACTTGAATGTTCATGGCCAGCTAAAAGGAGTTCTAAGTTCGGCTGCTGCTGCTACATCCTAATTTACCTGTAGTAATTGCCCCCACCCAGCCACCCTGCAGACTGGTTCGCCGGGGTAGTAAGGTCCCTATACTGGCAGAGCTAGAGGGATACTTACGTTTACGGAGTTTGGCGGTTTCTCAATTATTTAGGCATACTTCTGTATATGTATCGGGTCTGTAACTTGGGCGAAGGACTGTAGAACCATGTCAGGATGGTGAAAGGACTGGTGCCCACATTGCTAATTTCTTGTGCAATGCTGAGGCAAGCAGAAAGAGAAGAAAGCCAAAAAGGCGAAGAAGAAGGACAAGAAATCAAAGAAGGTGCCCCCGGCAGTAGCCTTGTTTCTCAGAACTTTTTTGTACAAGAGTAAAAATTTATAGCAAACGTCCAGTCAGCACCTGGCTCCCAGGAACGGAGTGGCGAAGGGGGCCGGGCTGGCAAGGGCCTGGCAAGGGGCAGGGGTTGCGGACGGGGGAAGGGCCAGGCTGGAATGCCAGAAGGGCTGGGCGGGGTGTCGTTTTATTCGGTATCGGTTCTTTGTAATCTCCTTTTGTGCCTAGATGCCCCAGACCCGTTAAGGGGCCCTTATTTTGAGAAACTCCCCTTTTACCGTTTTGATTATCTGCTATTTGTTGCACAAGTAGCTGAACCAAGGACAAGAAGTCAAAGTGAAACAAGAGGTTGACTTTGACATCTATTGACGACTTCTCCCGCCTGAACATCCAATTTCACATGCGGTAGCAAGGTCCCGGCGGGAAAGGAAGAGGATGCTAAGCCTCACGCACCTGGATGTTGGTCAGGGCATGGTGAGGCCAAGTCCTGAAGGGCTGCCAGCGCATCAAGTAGCACGGCCTCACGCACGCTGTTGCCGAAGCCCTGGACTCGTACGCTTGTTCTGGACTTCTGAGCCATAGTGGCGCAAGGCGTTCTGCGGCAACATGTCTGCACGTGTTCTACTGCAGCGTATGCCGTTCTCGAGACTGCGCAGAGAGATGCAAACGTGCGCGGAGTAAGAACATATGCTACTTGTATGCAGAATGTTGGCAGCTGCGTTCTATCACATTCAGGGAAACTTGTCCATGATCAGATGAAACTTCCCTAGGCCTGAAGCAGTTGACCAGGATGAGGAGAACAGTTCGGGTACACATGCTAAAGGTGCCACGCGCAGCGGTTTTGGGTTGTGGGTTCATGGTTGGAGGCATTCTTGAAGACCATGCCAATGCATTTAGAACCAGAATCCGCCGCCAGCTGCTCTTCTGCCCAACATGCCCTTCTATTGATGGACAAAGTCTTGCTTAAGCTTTTGTCCCACACTACCACAATTATAGAGTTTTTGGTAGGTAGGAAGGGCCATGTATGACGCAAGTCGGCATTGCTCAACAGGCTCCTTCCTGAAAGCTGAGCTGCAGCCCAGAAAATCGTTGATCAGCAAGGCCGAGGTTACAAATCCTACGTCTTGAACTCAGAAGAATTGATGCAAACCCTGTCTACGCTGCAGAAAACGTGGAGCTGCTGCCGAGATTTCAGGGCTCACAATGCCGTGTCACAGTATTTGCAGACAGGGTAAGAGCATTCCAACTTGTGCTGAAGTGCCTACACCCTAACCCGAAACCCCCTTTCTCAGCCTCCCAACCCTTGACACTTACCTGAAAAGCCAGTTTAGGGTCTAAAGTTAAGGGTTACAGGGAAGGCTTCCTCGTCGACAGCTTGGGGTAGTCTAGTGGCTGTGAGGTCAGACCCAAAGGGTTAATGGTCCACAAAGCTCCTATGACCATGAGCTCCAAACAACCCAGCAGCTTTGCGCGGTGAAGCAGACAAGCACGTTGCCATGCGGATAGAAGTTGTTTAGAAGACTACTCTGAGAGTACCGGCAGGATTGGCAGACGCAAATTTCTTGATTACAAGTACACATAAACTTAAACCCAAGGCATAGTCTATTCACCTTTATAGGCCTAACACTCGGAAGCATGAAGCGGCCGGCCGCTTACGCCAAGCCCGCCAAAATGCGGCGCGTGTGCAAGAAGGCTTGCGAACACAAGCAACATTGACAGGAGGAGTAAGTAGTATTCGATCTACTGCCATCTTTGTAGGCTTTCTTACCTGTGCTTGCCCTGAAAGAGTTAGGAAGTTGTGATAGAAGTGTGATCTTTGGTCCCGGAGAAACCTATCTCCAGCAGGAGCAGCTCGAGCTATTGCAGCACAAGAGCGGCAACAAAACTCAGATGCACAGCAGCAGAACAGATTGAGGAACCAATGCAGTACCACTGGTAGAGCACTTCTCCAGGAGCAGCAAGGGTTGTTACTGTGAGATTAGCAGGAGTGGTCAGGATCTGCAAAGGCCTCTCAAAAATGCTCGAAACAAAACCCTCCCTAATCCCCTTGGCCTTTTTGGGGCCTCCTCCAGCTTTTGCATAAGCAGGATGGCAGTGGCTCTAACACTTGAGGTCTGGGATTCAGGGTAAAGCGTTTACTCTTGAAGAACTGTGGCCTGACAGTGCAGCATCCCATCATCATTGCTGCTAAAAACAGTCTTTGTCTTTCTTACGGTCTTTCTTTGTTTTTTGTGTCAATGAAGTGTTTTGAGGCTAATTTTTTTTGCATTGAAAGACTAGGCAATGCCACATGAGGCTGATTGGGTAGGGTGGAGGGGTTGACCTGCGGCTTCTCAGGCCTCTGTCCTTGAACATGGGGGCTCACCGCTACCGTTGAGGATTAATCAGCAGGCTATACCTTGAATGTCGAACCTTCTGCCACATCATGCTCTCACCTAAACCTGGTATCCGCATGGCGCAGGCCCGAGCTGATCCTGCAGGAGTAAAGGATCGTGGCTGCAATCCCTCCAAATCGCTGCCTTCAAGCATGGCGCAGGCGCATCGATTTTCATGCGGTTCAGTGTTGAGGGGGATTGGGTTGAAAAAAATCAGGGGTTTAGGGTTTGAGGTTGCAGGGCTTCAGGGTTGCTGCATGGGAAGACCATCCTGCAATAACTTATACTAGTCGTAGACTGACCGGTGGGACAGCTTCTGACGCTCTGCATGTTTTCAGAAACAGTCGTGGCGTGTTGTGCAGATTTCTTCGACAGATACTAAGGCAGAAGAAGCTTGCATTCAAAAGCCATGTCTTTTTTCGAGAAGCTGTATCACGTCTATGATGCGAGGCGTTGCAGTTCAACACTAGCTATTTTGCAAGCCGAGTGAAGAAACCTTTGTGCAAGCAGCCTCTGTCAAGACTTCAATCCTATTCGAACGTTAACAGGGGTTTTCTCAAAATGATGCCCATTCATCCACAGCTAACTTCATCATCTCCTGATGATTGACACTTCTAGGATCCCTGAGGGCCCGCCGATTTTTAGAAACACCCAAAGTCCTAAATCTTCAGTTCCTACACCTCTCAGCAGGGTCCTCGGTCGAACTTCAATCCCGAACTCCTGCCCTTCGACCACCCCACCCCCGAAGCCGCACACCTCTCAGCCCCTAGTGTAGAAGCCTTAGTAAGGAATATTGTTCTATGCCTTGTACGAGTATAGAAAGACAACCCAAATCCCTATCCGTGTTATTTGGGCCCCTACGTCTACAGTATGAGGTTCCGCCCCATAGCGGGAAGCGGAATGCAGCTGGCAGGCAGGGTCCGAAGCAGCCAAAAAGGTTAGGTTGCAGAGTTGTGCATAGAAGCGAAGCTTAAATTGGGTGCTCCCAAAGCCACACCTGACAGCTAGCAGTTATACGGTTCAGCCTAGACTGGCTTAAGCCCTAATCCCTATGCCTTGTTGTGCCCCCATACCCCCTTTGAAGGCCCCTATAACCAGTAGAGGCACCAAGCTCTAAGATCTTCCTGCAAAATCACGGCAGTGCCCTCATGACTTGATGGTCTTGTTTGGACACTATTTGCCCGTGCGCCTCCGGGTTCAGTTCTACGGGTGGGGCTCAGGTAAATGGAATTTGGAAGCGGGGATCAGCAGGCTTGAGAGATGCTACTTGTGTGGGGTAGTCGGTACGGGCTTCTCTCAGTTGCAGCCGTTTCCCTTTGATAACTTTACCCTGCTTGAAAGGATTGTTCTGCCGTTTTCCTTCTTAAATGGGTAAAACTGCAAAATTTGGCAAGAGATGAAATACCCGTGCTTACCTACATTCTATCCTTTCAAATATGCGCCACGGCGGGTTCCGTTGTTCAAGGTTCAACAAGGGTTTGCACAGTGGCTTAAGGGCAAATTTGCTTGTCCCGGAGTCTGGAGTCAAGGTGGAGCACTAATGTAGAGGGCAGCGTATTCCAGATTCTTTTATTGGAAGATTGAACCAAATTCTAAATGCCTAAGCCCAAGCTGAGGCCGTGTCATCTTTGGCGATCCTCGTTCGGGGTCGTGGGTTCTGAAAAGAGTCATACATGCACAAGCTTTGAGCAAGTTGGGGTTTCAATGCCTAACTCTAAGTAGAACTCCCTCTTGAATCACTGAAATTCGAATCGACATCACATAAAATTCACCCGAAATCCAATAGACAGCAAATTGCAATGAGCTCAAATGAAGAAGCCAATTTAAGATCCAGTAAAAGTTAGCTACAGACGATCCAGATCAATTCAGAACTGAATTAAAATCAGTTGGAAACTTCTTAAAATCAATCTGAAACCTCATTGAAGTCAATTTCAAAATTTCATGCCCCCTTCAGGTCGAGGGGTGGTGCCTTCAGCCACACGCCAAGGGGATAGTGATTGAGTCTGTGCAGCCTCAAGGGAATGAGCTGAGCTTTGCTTTTTCCTTTAGTCTCGCTGCCGGTGCGTGTGT